TTTTGAAGACAGAATGTAGCCCAGTAGACTTGCTTTCGATATCTTTAAATAGCACAATGCAACACTGACCTCAGGAAATTCTAATCAAACATAAAAAGAAAGTCTAATTGCAATATACCTATGCGCAAACTCAAGCAACTGAGATACAACGCGAGGTTCATACTCAACAACCCCCATTTCCTTCAGTATCGCTTGCATGACCTGAGCATCACATGGCACCGCAGCCATCTAAACAACAAGTTTACCTCCACTCAAAGTCTGCTACCTACGACCAGATGTTCCCAACGCTGCCATTAAAAGTTCAACCTGTACGCTGAACACGAGATGGCGATAACGCAGGCGTATAAACTCACAAACAACTAGAATACCCAGTCAAATGTACTGTGGATATTTAACCGCTTGTATGGCTAAATGCCCAAGTTTCTGAAAAAAGAATTTATCGTTAAAATAAATATCATAATCCAATAAACCTGCAGTCTGCTCAGTACAAAAACAAAAACAAACCAGACACAATAGCAAAATCGGACATATCAATAGACCTCTAGGAGTCCCTCACAACGGATTAGGTAAAAAAACTACCATCAGCAAAAACCCTGCGTGTTACGGAAGTTGGAAAACTGTAAACTAGTCTTTTCTTTTTCTATTTAAATTGGTTTCGAAAAGTTTTTATACGACGTTTACAGCTGTTAAAACAATAAAATACAATCACTCAATTAATAAAAACAACAAGGTAGGAGTGATTAATCACAGAAGCGTGCAGTGAAAAATTGAAAAGCCTTTGTTCCTCAAACATTTAACTATCCTGACGCTCAAAAAAAGTAAAGTGATGACGACAAACTTTTGAAGACAACATGTAACATATTGCACAAATGGAATGAAGCACACCAATAACGTGGCGGAACGTTTACATAAAAACTGAATACCACAACGCAAACAAATCAAACAAAACATCTCTGAATCATAGATAATTAATAAACCAAATATTTCCATTAAGCATTCATTATTGCTCGAACGAAGTCGGAAATATTAATATTGCCGTGGGCATCTTCGTGGCCTGCCAGAAGCTGGTCAACCTGAAAAGCTACACATCACAAAAAGCCTTGCTGACGATTAAGTGATTGTATGCAAAAAAAACTAAGTGGATATGTCTTAAATGGTGTAATTTTTGCTGTTAATTATTGATTTCAAAACACGGAATTTAAGCAACCAGTAACTGACTATAGAAGAACGAAAGATAAAACAGATAAAAAAGGGAAACTTAAGCGGAAAACCCCTTAATTACAAAAAACTTCAAAAACTCATAAGTTATTATTTAGAGAAAAAGATCAAATGCATAAAACGTTACCAAAGTCACATTTTCTACCTACAATTAAAAAAATGTTTTAAAATGGAATAGAAGAAAAAACAGTTACAATTAAACGGGAAGAAAATAACAAAATCACCTCCTCATCAGACAGTCTTTCACCTAGCGTAGTCAGTAAATGACGTAATTCGGCAACATTAATAAATCCATTACCCTGAAAAATGACTCGTGACCAGAAAATGTTAAAATAAAAAAAAAAAAAAATGAAAAAAATTGCTTTAAAAGCTTTTAAAAATTGAGATTTGAATATCTGGAAGAGACTGCAGTAACAATGACAACCTCTTTATCAAAATGAGCGAGACCATCAACAAATTCCTCTAAAGTATGGTTTTCTCGGTTCTTATTCACCTGCTGGTATATTGGAACGAAGTCCTCAAATGTGATTCGCATGTCTAGAAAATTGAAAAAAGTTAACCTCAAACCCGAGCCGAAGGAAAAGTAATGATGAAACTCAAAGTGAGAGATTACCTGGGTCATTCCAATGCGAGCAGCATTTCCCAATTTCAGCATCGGTTGGATTCTGGCCTAAAGCACGTAGCACATCACCCACTTGAGAAACTGCAATTTTTTCATCGCCCTGCAATAAATCATTAGAGAGGAGAAAAGAAAAAAAAAGGGGGTATGAGTCACCAAATATATCAGTTCCGAAACTAATAGGAATTAATCTCTACACCTCCTTCCCGTAAGATAAACAATAAACACGATCTGGACAAACTCCTGTTAATTCGCAGTTAGGAAGTTCTGAAGGCAAACCATCCGAATTTTTCTAAATATGCCAGCAAATCATGAAAATGTCGCATTTTCCCTTCGGAACACAACTGAGAAAGGGAAAAATTACCTCATTATGAGTTAATTATAAAACTGCGGAAAACAATTACGGGAAGCACGAGATAGAAAAAGACAAGACGAAAATATTTCTTAAAAATACTTGAAATTTTTTTCTATCCTGTCTGATCTAAAAAATTTACAGTAAATCTAGAGAGAAAATAATTTCCATAAACGTGTGGACAAAAAACATTTATTTTTCCCCTTCTCTTTCGCCTCTTGATTGTTTTTCTTGACTGACTTCATTTTTCAAACCCTATAATCCGGCTCCTTACTAGTACAAACATTTAAACTTTCTCTGCTGGTAATGCAAGCTTGAAAATTAGCCTTCAGACATACAAAATTCTTGTCAAGAATCATATTAGCGACCAATGCTACATTAATAACATGAACCAGCAGAAGAACAATTAGTACAATATAAATACTAGTCTTGAAAGTTATTGTACTTTTTGGTGCCCACCTACAAACGCATTTTTCTTTTACCTACATTTCGAAGCTATCTTTCTCGAGCATAGTCTCTAAATTCATTCGATCAACCGGTGTGAAATTTGGAAATACCTTCGCAGTTTCTACTTAACACCTTTCTAGAAAAGTTTGATTACATCCAAATAAAATTCCGTACTTAAGTAAATCAACAACAGATATAATTTCTCAAACCTTAACAAATTCTCGGGGTGAAAGCTTAAACC